CACCAAATCAATACCATTTACAATAGCTCCCAAGAAGATAAAATACTTAGGAATAAATCTAACCAGAGACATAAAAGATCTATACAATGAAAATTACAAGGCACTACTGCAAGAAACCAAAAGAGACCTGCATAAGTGGAGAAACATACCTTGCTCATGGATAGGAAGACTCAACGTTGTGAAAATGTCAATTCTATCCAAAGGGATCTAAAGATACAATGCAATCCCGATCCAAATTCCACCCGCATTTTTTAATGAGATGGAGAAACAAATCACCAACTTCATATGGAAAGGGAAGAGGCCCCAAATAAGTAAAGCATTACTTAAGAAGAAGAACAAAGTGGCAGGCCTCACACTACCTGATTTCAGAACCTATTATACCACCACAGTAGTGAAAACAGCCTGGTATTGGTACAACAACAGAAACAGAGACCAATGGAACAGAATTGAGAATCCAAACATTAATTCATCCACCTATGAGCAGCTGATATTTGACAAAGGCCCAAAGTCCGTTAATTGGGGAAAAGATAGTCTCTTTAACAAATGGTGCTGGCATAACTGGATGTCCATCTGTAAAAAACTGAAACAAGACCCATACCTCACACGATGCACAAGAAATAACTCAAAATGGATCAAAGACTTAAATATAAAATAAAAAATGATAAAGATCATGGAAGAAAAAATAGGGACAATGCTAGCAGCCCTAATGCATGGCATTAACACAATACGAACCATAAGTATCAATGCACAAGCACCAGAAGAGAGACTAGATAACTGGGAGCTCCTAAAAATCAAACACTTATGCTCATCAACAGACTTCACCAAAAGAGTGAAGAGACAACAACCTACAGACTGGGAAAAAATTTTTGGCTACGACAAATTCAATCAGCGTCTAACCTCTAAAATCTACAAGATACTGCAAAACCTCAAGAACAAAAAGACAAATAACCCAATTAAAAAATGGGCAAAGGATATGAACAGGCACTTCGCCCAAGAGGCTATTCAGGTGGCTAACAGACACATGAAGAAATGCTCACGATCATTAGCCATTAGAGAAATGCAGATCAAAACTACAATGAGATACCATATCATCCCAAGAAGGCATTAACCCAAAAAACACAGAATAATAAATACTGGAGAGGTTGTGGAGAGACTGGAACACTTATACACTGCTGGTGGGAATGTAAAATGGTACACTTTGGAAATCGATTTGGCGCTTCCTTAAAAAGCTAGAAATAGAAGCACCATACAATCCAACTATCCCGCTCCTTGGAATATGTACTACAGAAATAAGAGCCGTCACATGAATAGATATATGCACACCCATGTACACTGCAGCACTGTTCACAATAGCAAAAAGATGGAAACAACCTAAGTGCCCATCAACGGACGAACGGATAAATTATGGTATATTCACACACTGGAATACTATGCAACAATAAAGAACAACAATGAAGCCGTGAAACATAACATGGAGGAAGCTGGAACTCACGCTGAGTCAATTTAGTAAGTCACAGAAGGGCAAATATTGTATAAGACCACTATTACAAGAACTCAAGAAAAGGTTTAAACACAGAAGAAAACATTCTTTGATGGCTATGAGGGTGGGGAGGGAGGGTGAGTTATTCACTAACTAGATAGTAGACAAGAATTATCTTAGGTGAAGGGAAGGACAGCACACACTACAGGGGAAGTTAGCACAACTGGACTAAACCAAAGCTTA